TGAAAGAAAAAGACAAATTAGCTTCTAAAAACATATAGGGGCAGGTCGTGATCCAATGCATCTGGGTGCTAAGGATAGTTGCTGATAGAAACTGAGAATCTGGAAAACAAAAGCCCCAAAATGGAGAAAATTGCAAGGAAGTGTGATTTCATTTGCATTGCCAACGTTTCTGATGTAGAAATTTGCTGGAGAGTGCAAATTATTTGCTAGGGTTTTTTTTTTGTTTGTTTGTTTGTTTGTTTTTGTTTTTTTTTTTGGTCATTCTGCAATGCAGCTGTTAATCATAAGGTACATGTGACTGCATTCTCTCTGGAAGCCACGGACCATCACATTGACGTGATGGGAAAGAAAGCAACATGATGTTTCCACATCTTACATGTACCCTTACTCACAAGGAGCTCCCACATATTGCTAATGCAATTAACATCTGCATTTTCCAACTTGCTTTTGCAGAGTAGTAATAACATGGTAAGTCACAGAGGTTGATTCTGTAAAAAGAACCTAAGGGATGAGAATGTTCAGGTAGCTACAAAACACTCCTATATAGGAAGGTGGTGTAGACTTCCTCTGCAGAGCTGGTGAGTTTCTTATTGGCCAGGTGTAGCTTTCTAGCCATGTCTCTACAAAAGGGGTTTGAAAAGACAACGGAACGTTTGTGTTGTAACTCCTGCGTTATGTTAGGGGACACACTGCTACCCAGTTATGACCTTTGCAATGCATAGAATGTAGTTTGCTGCCTTAACTTAGTTTTTTTCCAGCAATTAAGTGATGGAGCTAATCCTCTCGAGAAGGCTGATCTTACCTGCCTTATTTGAACTTGTGGTCTAATTTTTGATAACGAGCAGTGCATTTGGATCTCTTAATTGGTGATGCTTAATTTTAGGCTCCTGCTAATGAACACATTTGTGTCTACCAGCATTAGTTGAGAGACCAAGGTGAAGTTAGTCTAGGATAACATTTGGCAAAAATGTGTCCCGTACAACCTTAGTTATGGACCATTATGTGATAAACAGAAAAAAAATGGTCTGTGGTCAGATACGTGTAGAAAACACTGGGCAGCAAAGTCCTTTCATTTTCTTTATTAGAAAACTTTAACATGCTACTATGCTTTAAATGTACTCAAGGAGTGCATAGTATGTGTTATTTCCCAGCAGAACCCTCCTTTCACAGAGCATCACTTAGGACTCATTTTCCATAGGACACCTGATAGGGAAGTAGCAAATCCAGATGCCAACAGGGTAGACAGCTGACATGAATGAGCGAAGGAGGCTGGTAGAACAGTGTGGCGAAGGCTACCGTAAACTGAAGAGTTCGTGCCCCGTCTCAAGGGGAAAGCCCCTCATCAGCTTCAAAAATTGAGAAAGCAAGCCATTGTTGCTAGAACTTCCAGGGTTTTTGTTTTTTTTTTTTTTAATCAAATGCCAAAAAATGTGGGGGTTTTTGAGAAATCTTCCTCTTTAAAAAAATTAGCAACCAAGTCAGGGTTTTAGAAAACACTCCAGATGCAACAAGTCCTGTGTCCAACTCTCGAGCCTGAGAGCTACGCAAGGGCAGCTCCAGGTCAAGGGTGTGGGGTGGGAGCAAACTCAAACACGGGCCTATTGTGCCTGCCTCCTCCTCTGGAGGCCTTTGCTGGGAGGCCTGTCCCCGCTCCGACTGCCCTGGCTGCTGTCCTCCAGTTCTGAGCTGGTCCCTGCTGAGCTGGAAAGGGAAGATAGTAATGCCAGAGCCTTCCGTTGCTGGTTCCCTGTCTTCCAAATCACAGGACTAATTATGTGCCTCTGAATTTTCTTCCTGATTACATTTGTCCTCTTTCTATCCTGAAAATGGGCAAGTGAGGTAAGCTTGGATGAATGTTTTCTGTGCTGAGAATAACACCACCTCAAATCTGAGTCTGGGGGCTTGCCGTAGGCCAAGAAGGGCTGCCATCACCAACCACCACAGTTTGGGAGGCTTAAACAAGAGAAATCTATTTTCTCACAGTTCCTGGAGGCTACAGGATCCCCAAACAGCCGTCACCAGGCTTGGTTTCTCCTGAGGCCGCTCTCCTTGGCTGGCACATGGCCCCCTTCTCGCTCTGCCTTAACGTGACCTTTCCCCTGTGTGGCCAAATGTCCCCTTCTTATAAGGATACCAGGCAGGCCTACCCCGAAGGTCTCATTTTAAGGTACTGCCTCTTTAAAGACCCTGAGCCCAGATGCGGTGACATTCTGAGTATTGGGGATTAGGGCTTGAGTTCAGGGGCCTGGGAGGGTTCCTCATGCAGCCCGGCACGGTGTTCAGGATGGCCGTGACTTTTCTCTCCTCTGCCTTTCCCCTTGCATTTGGGCAGGGCTCGGTGCAGTCCTTCACTCCCTCTCCAGTGGAATATCACTCCCCGGGACTGATCTCCAACTCCCCCGTCCTGTCGGGCAGCTACAGCAGTGGCATCTCTTCTCTCAGCCGGTGTAGCACCTCGGAAACCTCAGGCTTCGAAAATCAGGTGAACGAACAGTCGGCGCCGGCGGCGGGGCCGGGCTACAGCGGGCCGGAGGAGCCGGTGCGCAAGGAGAGCAAAACGCCGCCGCCCTACAGCGTGTACGAGCGGACTCTGCGGCGGCCCGTCCCGCTACCTCACAGCCTCTCCATCCCGGTCACGGCCGAGCCGCCCGCGCTGCCCCCCAAGCCCCTGGCGGCGCGGCCCGGCCACCTGGAGAACGGGACCCGGAGGACTGAGCCCGGCCCGCGGCCCCGGCCCCTGCCTCGCAAGGTCTCGCAGTTGTGAGTCCCTCTGCTAGTCCCCTGCCAGGAGGCCCGGCCGTTTACAAGAGCATAGGCGGTAGGACCAGGAGATGTTTAGTGTAGGCACTTTAATAACTTACCCAGATTCGTCTTTCAGTGAATGGAATTAAAACCTGCTTATTAATATGTTGCACAATATTAAAAGTTACTGATCTAAAACGCCGGATGTTACATGGAGTATGGCTGACTTTCCTTAAGACGTTTCTCGTTTGGAAGTGGTAAATAGTGCTGAAGACTTCTTTTGTATCTTTTTATGTTCCCTTTTTTTAATCTAGTTTAATCTTAAAACCAATACGAGATTGTCCAACAATAGGGCGCGTGATGTTGTACACTTTTTACTGAATACTTGATACTCCGAGAAAGCTTATTAAGTCGATGCACATCCTAACACGACGGTCCTTACTTTAGAAGGCTTCTTCTGTATATAAGGGGAGGTTTCTCGCTCTTTCCATGAGAAGGCTGATCCGTGCACTTCAACAGAATCACAAGTTAGCAGGCTCATTAGACAATACACTTAAGGGGTTGCAAGAAATAGGGCTGCAAGTTGTTTTGTTCTTGAAACAAAAGAGTTCTTTAAGGTTGCTTTTGACATTGACCACTGTCTGCTTTCTTCAAACTCTGCTTTGTGAATTGGTTGGTGAATCCTTTAGCACCCTGACATCATGGTATCTACTGTATTTCTTTTCAAGGTGCAATTTACTTTGAGAGTTCCAATCGGCTAGATTAAGCAAAAGACCCCAGGAGAAATGTTTACTTGAATCTTGCGCAAGCTTCCTTACTTGATCGTTTCCTCTGCAGCATATTTGTCACTGAAGAAGCGCAGATGTTCACGTGTTAAATGGGCACAAATTAATGTGTCCCATTAACAAGAATTCAGGAATCAATACAGGACAGTATTAAATCAATAGCGTAAATGAAGAAAAAAACCTTAGAGAAAATATATTAGCATGATTAAATGGCAAAAGGACTTTCAAAAGGCAAGGGCATTAACTTTTAAGCCTGCACCAAATAGAAAATTCTTCACAACTCTCCAAGCTCCTGCCGGAGCTGATCTTCTTAGCTGATCCTGTCTTTGCTGATGGGTGAGATGGCTGTAGACCCCGCTGGCTTGAGGACCGACACACAGCATCTCCGATCTAGGGAGGGATGCTGATGCCCCAGTTGCAGACATGTGGAAAAAGCACCTTGTATTTAGTAATGTATTTTGTAGCCTTGTTTTTTTCTTTTACTGACTGTTTATAACACTCAATAAATATGAGCTGTATTTTAAATCACACTGTTAAATATTTTCCCTCTTTTGTTGGGAAGCTCATTTTAGTTTAACCCCATTTGTTTTTGTTGATAGCTTACCTGGAAGGCAGTGACCACTTTTTTATATTCTCTTAATGAAACCATTCAGCAGGTATACGCTGTTGAGGCTGGTTATAGAGGTTTTCTATAATAAATGTTCAAGTATTTTTGTACATAACTGGTTAATTTTAATAAGAGATACCATTATGTGTAAAAAAAAAAAAGTAAAAATAAAAGCAAACAGTTGTGGATGCAGTATGATTGTTATAATTATGCCAAATACTTTATGTATGGAAAAAGAATATTTGTACATATGTGCTTTTAACAATAATTCTGCCATATTGACTTTACAATTTTGAATGTCAGAAAAATTAATATATGTTAAATATTTATGTTTAGTGAAAGTATTCATAATTGAGAAAAGGAACATCCGAATTTTAGCTTTGTATCTTGCAAGTTTTGCAGTTGGAAATTTCTGGAACTAGCTTTTGCCTTGATGATAACACTTTGTGTTTGTAATCACATCCTTAAATACACATACACACACACACATAGGAAGCTCCATATTCCTGTTGCTTTAAAGAAGTAAAGCCTTCCATTTAAATAAGTTGACATGCATATAAGATAACAAAGCTTCTTTGATTTCCTTTTCCTTTGTAATTTAATAGATTGTTGACTAGTGCTTGGGCACAGTATAAATCAGTGTTATTTGCTCTTGAAGCCCTTTTTTAAAAAGTTTTTCTGGCAATGAACAGTTCAATTTATCATGTGCGTGTATTTCTGAAGCAGCTATATAGCAGAACATTTCAAAAGATTCTGTTAGCTCAGATGTTCATGTTGGTTGCTGCTGAATGGTAAATATTTAATAAAATTACCTGATTAATCTTAATATAATTGTCTTTATTACTGTCATCAGTGTATCTTTACCTGAAATAGAAGCTTTGTGAATCTCTTGTCATACCGTGAAATTTTTGGACTTCTTTGTTGATAGATCCTATTTTGTTGTTGTGCCTTGCTTGATGCACTTCTCCCTACAAAGCATATTTATACATTAGAGAAAAAAAGTTAAAAGATAATGGTATTGGCTACTACCAGTAGAGAAATGAGATTTACCTGGGTGATAGACTGTTAATTGACTTATCCAGAGCCATTTTTAAAAATCAAACCAGAGGCACCTTAGTGGCTCAGTTGGTTGAACATCCTTCTTCTGACTCTTGGATTTCGGCTCAGGTCATGATCCCAGGGTCGTGGGAGTGGGATTGAGCCCCACATCAGGCTTTGCACTGAGTGTGGTGCCTACTTAAGATTCTCTCTCCCCCTGACCCTCTCCTCTCCCCTGCTTGTGCACACGTGTGCTCTTACTTTCTCTCTAAAAAAAAAAAAAAAAAAGTCCAAGTTTGTCTGCATGGGAAAACTTGACATAAGACAGGTAACTGCAAGACATACAAAGGAATAGCCACCTTTGCCAGCTGTGACAAACTCTATCCACAGGCCAGCTTTTCTCCCTGATTTTCATTAAAAAAAAAACGGGAAACATTTGACAAACACTGCAAAACCCATCAACTACAAGATTGCTGTTAATAAAAGCTGGCTTTAATTTTGTGAAATCTGTCTATGCTGTGTTAGGGTTACAACATTTATGTAGCTCAGTGCTAAGCAAGCTGTTGTCTAAAGCCTCTGTCCCATTAAATACCAAATACCATTTAAAGGCCATAGTCAATGTCCTCCTGATTGTTTCTCAACATTAACTAAGTCATTTTAGAGCATTTTCGATCATTTTCATTACAACAGACCCCATAAGTATTTCGATTCCACAAGCATAATTACGATATGAATAGCTCTGCTTCCTACCTAAGTAGTCTTGTCTCTGGATTGTTATTGATTGTTCTACAAAACACAAGGAAGAGAATAACAAGCTGCACAGCTTTGCCTTTATTTGATCTTTACATATTAAAATGTGGCTGCACCAAAATGAACTCCTAGTTATTGATTGAAATAAGCCTTGCCCTCATTATATAAGAATACCATTTAAAACAGGCTTGAAAATTGGCTAAATACCAATTCCCTTACATGACTATTGTTATTTTTACACCTTCCTTTCATCTTTCTACATGTATTTATTGCATAGTTTTTCTACACTGTTGAGTGTGGTTTCCCAAGTATCATCAACATAAACTGTTAATACAGGACAGACTCAGTGCCGCTAGGGAGAGCACTGCCTCATTAGAGCTTTGGTTCTGTCTCAGGGAGGGAAGGGCAGGATCAGGTTTTACTGAAATTTTGGAGTTTTGTTTAAGGTGGGACTTTCAACGAGCAGGCATTGTTTAAGACTGGATACATATCATGATATAATTGCTCAGGGTTTTTTTTTTGTTTAATGTTTGTTTATTTTTGAGAGAGAGAATCCTGAGCAGTCTCTATACTGTCAGCACAGAGCCCAACTTGGAGCTTGATCCCACAAACTATGAGATCGTGACCTGGGCTGAAATCAAGAGTCAGACACTTAACTGACTGAGCCACCCAGGCACCCGTGTTCAGGTGTGAAGGATATAATGAGGCAAGAATTTTGGGTTGAGGGGCTCAAAAAGCCTTAGGATATGAGCTATCAGTTGATGATTTCTATTGATGAATTAATAGGATCCGTTGAAAAGTTCCTGTTATGAATAAATTTATGTGCCTCGCCAAGAGGTTCTTGGTAAACTTATGCTAATGAACATTGGAATATGGAGTCATATTCATGTAGACAAAATCTGTATGAGGTAGTTTTAATTCTCAACATCAATGTTTTACAAAGTTACAATCACACTATACCTGGATAAATTATCCTTATTTTATGTTTATTTGTATATAACATGCATGTAAAAGCAAAATATATATTCCATAATTTATTTAGCCATTCTCCTATTAATTGACATTATATTGTTTCCAACCTGTTCCTCCTACAAATAACACCATTGTGACTATTCTTACATACAGCTTTTTCCATGTGTTGGATTATTTCCTTACAATGTATTCCTACACTGAAATTGCAAAGGCAGAGGAATGATGATTTCTGTAGTTCTTTTGCATATTGGCAAATTTATTCCCAAAACTGTCGTACCAATTTTAATGCCACCAGCAATATCTTTCCGAGATTGGATATTGATGCAGTGTTTTGTGCTATGTGGGAAGAAAATATTGCTGCCTTACCGAAAATTTGAAAAAAATGTTAGTAAGTCTTTTACAGCATCTGTGCTAAGGAAATTGATATCCTTACAAAGGAAATGAAAAGGAGAGATGAGAAAACAAGAAAATAACAAGCTAATGGTAATACTCATATGGCACCTACTGAAAATACTTCATCCTACAGAAGAGATTGCTAGGAAGATCATCTGTATGGAATACTAGAAAATCCTTAGCATTTTGAACACAAGTTTATCCAGAGTTTACCCCTGTCATTCACAATCAGTGAAAGAATCAAAAACCTAGAAGTAAGGACAGTGACCTGAATAACCATAATAAATGCTACAGTCTGCTGAATAAACTGTCCTGTCCACAAGAAGATTAAGCTGATTAAGTCTGGGGTGTTTGAACTTACTGAAGAGTAAGTTCTTAGTTTCAAGAGTGTTGAAGGGTGGAGGAGACGGATTTCTAGAATGCTATGCAGTGACAAAAATGAAGTTAATGCCAGAGAGAACAAATTTTATAAAAGCAAATGTAATCATAGTGCACTATGTGGGTCTGCTACATATAACATTTGCATAGCCATGGAGAGATAAAACTCATGTATTGATCTCATCCAAAATTATAATATAATTAGATTGGAAGGATGAGGGTAAGAAGTTGTCTGTGTGGAGAATAAAATAAAGGGATGTCTATAAAGGGACATCACTAGTGAAGGGGAGGAAAAAATTTTCCTTAGTCCAAGGTTCTTCTAGCTGGGCTAAGAATTAAATCTACATGAGACACATTAACAGGAGAAACAAACTTACTTTCCCTATGATCCAAACGTTTACTCCCCAAAATAGTATAAGAGAGCAAAAATTGTCATTGTCCAGGTGGTAGGAATATATGGCATCTCGCTCCCACAAATGTGAGATACCTCCAGGCACAGACTCGCTAATCTGTGATACCAGGCAGGCACTACTGGAATGGGACTTTCCAGCACTAACACGCAATGAAGGTTGAGATGACAAATGTCCTTTGTGGGCTGGGGGATCTCTCATAACAAATTCCTAAGAGCTGGCACAGCTGGACAAAGAGAGTCCTGCTTATAACTGCATGTCTCAGATCCCCATTCTATTTGGTCACCAAAGCACATCCAGGTAAGTGCACCCTCCAGATAGTGGAGAACACAGAGAATATTCTCACTGGTCACAAACCAAGCCCTTAGACACTGAAGATGAAAGGAAAACCTCATCCGGTTTCTCTTACATGCACTTTAACAGCTTTAGCTCAGCCTTGAGTCTCCTAATACACAGGAGGAATGTGCCATAGGGCTGAAGATTGTGTGCTGTGCAGTGCATTTCATTGCACAGAACTTTTTTTTGAGGTTGCCAGGTGACCTAGTGTCAATCTAACCCATTCCGTGACAAATCCTACCACAGGAAACTGGGTTAGGTGGCGAATGCTCTAAAAGCTTTTAAGCGCTTGATTCGTGCCCACCACCCTTGCAGCTTTGGCTTCCAAGATGTCCCATAGCAGCAGTTTTTACCTCGTGTGCACTTTAACCCACAACAAAGTTTGTCTAAATAGACACTGGTTTGATGAGAACCACTGAATTCGCCCATGCGGGGAGTCTGAACAGTAGGCTTAGAGGGTCCGTTCCTGTGTTCTCCCTGTGGGGTGTGTGTGCGTGCATGTGTGTGTGTGCGCGCTTAATGACAAATGGCATAAAAGGCAAAGAAAAACAAAGACCATCTCTGGGAGGAAATGGATCAGTAACCCAAGAGTACTCTACCAAATTTTTATCAAGAGCCATGAAGCCCAAGGAACTAGTTCCAATACTTTTATCTGCTGAGTTTAGAATACAAGTTTCACCCCTCTTTTTCCATTGGACCCCACAGACAGATTTCAGAAGGCCAACATAAGAAGTCTTACCTTCTGTCGATTTTGTGTCCTATGTCCCAAGATCTCAAAGCTGCAGAATCTTCAGAGCAAATGTCCAGGGGAAGTTTATCCTGCTGACAGCTTCAAGTGAAGGAAAGGAAGAAATTTTCCTTGGTCCAGGGTTCTTCTAACTGTGCTGAGGATTAAATTCATGTGAGATAGATTAACAGGAGAAAATAAACCAAAGTTTAATAACATGAGCACAGAGGCCCAATTATGAAATTGAGACCTAAAGAAATGACCAGTGGCAGGCAGTTTTTATACTTTCTAGACAGACAATCTGTGAGGAATTGACAGGACAAAGAAAACTTACCTTTGGGAGTTTCAACTGGTAAATAATTCTAAACGGAATTTGGGCTGGGGTAGTAAATTAGTAAAAAGTAATAAGCTTTGTCTATACAGCTTTCTTGGCTCTGAAGTTCCTGTCTTTAGAGATAAGGATGTCTCTACCTCCTGGGACAGGAGGGGTACCTTTTTTATGGGAGATTTGCCACTTTCAGGGAAACAGAGGACAGTCTGAGTGTCCTTAGGCTGTCTCTGAAATAATTTTTATTTAAAATAATCCGTATATGGGGCGCCTGGGTGGCTCAGTCGGTTAAGCGGCCGACTTCAGCTCAGGTCACGATCTCGCGGTCTGTGAGTTCGAGCCCTGCGTCAGGCTCTGGGCTGATGGCTCAGAGCCTGGAGCCTGTTTCCGATTCTGTGTCTCCCTCTCTCTCTGCCCTTGTCCGCTCATGCTCTGTCTCTGTCTCTGTCTCTCTCTCTCAAAAGTAAATAAATGTTAAAAAATTAAAAAATAACTTTTTAAAATTGAAATAATTGTTGGGGCTCCTAGGTGGCTTAGTCAGTTGAGTGTCTGACTCTTGATTTTGGCTCAGGTCATGATTGCACGGTTCCTGAGATCCAGCCCTACACTGTCAGCACAGATCCTGCTTGGGATTCTCTCTCCCTGCCCTTCTCTGCCCCTTTCCTGATTGTGTGTCCATGCTCTCTCTCTCTCTCAAAATAAACACACCTAGTAAAACAAACAAATAAATAAAATTGAAATAATGGTCTCTGGGAAGTGAAAATGGAACAGAAATATTGTAGGGGACTCCTGTTTTTCACAGCAGCTTTGTAGAACCGTATGCATATATGACTGTGCTACATTTTAAGAGACTGAAAAATATGAATTCTGAAACATTCAGATACCACCACACTGGTTTCACCTTCCCTAGCTTATGTTTTCCCCACCTTTCTATGACATTACTGATTACAATCCAGAGCTATTTGAGAAGCCCTGTGGAGTTTGCAACCAGGCTTCTACTTAAAGGAATGTGGGCAGCAGGCAGCAGGAGTGAAGGGGAGGAGTTCTGGACCCTATGAAGCTCCTGCTGGGGCCGAAGTGATTGGCAGGAAGCAAGTACGTTTTAATCACATTGGATAAGTCATTTGCAATAGGTTAAAGGGCAGGCCCCTCCTTGTTCTTAGCAGCAACACTAAGCAGCCAAGAGCAACAATTTTTAGACCAATTCTAAAAGGATTCTGCTAGTTTTACCAGTTTACAAATTCCTTCTATGTCAGTAATGTCAGTTTTCTTATTCACATAAAGCACACATAGGTCTGGCTGTAACTTACTTGGGAACAACAGTCAATAGTCCCAGGTTAATTCCCTCCACGAGGGGGAAATCCAGTAAATACATAGTGAGGTTAAGTGGGCCTCAGGCCTATAATGAAAAAGTTTGGTGGAGGGTCTCCGGTCATACCCCCTGTCCCTCCCCTCATGATAGCTCAACCTCTCGCCCAGTCACCCACAACCTACCCAAAGTTATTCCCAACCCCGAGGAAAAGATGTTCTCATCAGGATCAAGCTCTCCACCCAGGAGCTGATACCATCTTACCTCCCTCCTCTGAACCCTTCCACACCAGTGAGGAAGTGAGGGAGAATCTGGTGGTGACCTTTGACCCCATTTTCCACAGGGATCTGATGCCTGTCCCTGAAAACAAGAACAAATACAACTGAATATCTAACTCAGACAGCAGGCTGACTTTTCTTTTCTGTCTTTCTCACCTTTTTATTCCTTTTGGTAAGGCAACTTTCTAAGCCCAAGAATCTACAAAAAGTTGGCCAACTTCACAGTATTAAATTTCAAAACTTATGTAAACCAGAGCGAGATATAGCCAAGATAAAAAAAAACAGACAAAAAGAAAAAAAAAATTTGTACTAAGTCTGACAATGGTAACATCTTTGTAAAGAATTCATACACATTGATTTTCAAAATTAATAATGGGGCGCCTGGGTGGCTCAGTCGGTTAAGTGTCCAATTTCACCTCAGGTCATGATCTCACAGTGTGTGGGTTCAAGCCCCATGTCAGGCTCTGTACTGACAGCTCAAGGCCTGGAGCCTCCGTCAGACTCTGTGTCTCCCTCTCTCTCTGCCCCTCCTCTGCTAGTGCTCTGTCTCTGTCTCTTAAAAATAAATACAAATGTTTACAAAAATTTTTAAAAATAAAAAATAGAGGCACCAGGGTGGCTCAGTCGGTTGAGCGTCCGACTTCGGCTCAGGTCATGATCTCGCGGTTTGTGAGTTCGAGCCCCACGTCAGGCTCTGTGCTGACAGCTCAGAGCCTGGAGCCTGCTTCAGATTCTGTGTCTCCCTCTCTCTCTGCCCCTCCCCTGCTCATGCTCTGTCTCTCTCTGTCTCAAAAATAAATAAAAATGTTTACAAAAATTTTTAAAAATAAAAAATAAAAAATAATGAAGACACGATTAAGCGGTGTATGTATCAGAAAGAAAGGGAGAAACTATGTTAACAGGCAAGTAAATAGGTAATTTACAAAAGATGAGCCATAAACAAACAAACATGGGAAATTAACAAAACTACTAATCGAAGAAAAATAAATGACAACAACAATAAAGTAACATTTAGGGAGGAGGAGGGAAGATGGCGGCGTAGGAGGACGCTGGGCTCACCGCGCGTCCTGCTGATCACTTAGATTCCACCTACACCTGCCTAAATAACCCAGAAAACCACCAGAGGATTAGCAGAACGGAGTCGCCGGAGCCAAGCGCAGACGAGAGGCCCAAGGAAGAGGGTAGGAAGGGCGGCGAGGCGGTGCGCGCTCCACGGACTGGCGGGAGGGAGCCGGGGCGGAGGGGCGGCTCGCCGGGCAAGCAGAGCCCCCAAGTCTGGCTTGCAAAAAGCGGAGGGGCCTGACGGACTGTGTTCCGACAGCAAGCGCGACTTAGCGGCTGGGAGGTCATAAGTTAACAGCTCTGCTCAGAAAGCGGGAAGGCTGGAGGACAAAGGGAGGGAAAGCTGCTGAGCCCCCGGAGGACAGAGCTCAGTTTGGTGGGGAACAAAGGCGCTCGCCAGCGCCATCTTCCCCGCCCATCCCCCAGCCAAAATCCCAAAGAGAACCAGTTCCTGCCGGGGAACTTGCTCGCTCCACGCAAACACCCAACTCTGCGCTTCTGCGGAGCCAAACCTCCGGCAGCGGATCTGACTCCCTCCTGCTGCCACAGGGCCCCTCCTGAAGTGGATCACCTAAGGAGAAGCAAGCTAAGCCTGCCCCTCCTGCCCCTGTGCACCTTGCCTACCCACCCCAGCTAAGACGCCAGATCCCCAGCATCACAAGCCTGGCAGTGTGCAAGTAGCCCAGACAGGCCACCCCACCCCACAGTGAATCCCGCCCCTAGGAGAGGGGAAGAGAAGGCACGCACCAGTCTGTGGCCCCAGCGGTGGGCTGGGGGCAGACATCAGGTCTGACTGCGGCTCCGCCCACCAACTCCAGTTATACACCACAGCACAGGGGAAGTGCCCTGCAGGTCCTCACCACGCCAGGGACTATCCAAAATGACCAAGCGGAAGAATTCCCCTCAGAAGAATCTCCAGGAAATAACAACAGCTAATGAGCTGATCAAAAAGGATTTAAATAATATAACAGAAAGTGAATTTAGAATAATAGTCGTAAAATTAATCGCTGGGCTTGAAAACAGTATAGCTGACAGCAGAGAATCTCTTGCTACAGAGATCAAGGGATTAAGGAACAGTCACGAGGAGCTGAAAAACGCTTTAAATGAAATGCATAACAAAATGGAAACCACCACAGCTCGGATTGAAGAGGCAGAGGAGAGAATAGGTGAACTAGAAGATAAAGTTATGGAAAAAGAGGAAGCTGAGAAAAAGAGAGATAAAAAAATCCAGGAGTATGAGGGGAAAATTAGAGAACTAAGTGATACACTAAAAAGAAATAATATACGCATAATTGGTATCCCAGAGGAGGAAGAGAGAGGGAAAGGTGCTGAAGGGGTACTTGAAGAAATAATAGCTGAGAACTTCCCTGAAGTGGGGAAGGAAAAAGGCATTGAAATCCAAGAGGCACAGAGAACTCCCTTCAGACGTAACTTGAATCGATCTTCTGCACGGCATATCATAGTGAAACTGGCAAAATACAAGGATAAAGAGAAAATTCTGAAAGCAGCAAGGGGTAAACGTGCCCTCACATATAAAGGGAGACCTATAAGACTCGTGACTGATCTCTCTTTTGAAACTTGGCAGGCCAGAAAGAGTTGGCACGAGATTTTCAGTGTGCTAGACAGAAAAAATATGCAGCCCAGAATCCTTTATCCAGCAAGCCTGTCATTTAGAATAGAAGGAGAGATAAAGGTCTTCCCAAACAAACAAAAACTGAAGGAATTTGTCACCACTAAACCAGCCCTACAAGAGATCCTAAGGGGGACCCTGTGAGACAAAGTATCAGAGACATCACTACAAGCATAAAACATACAGACATCACAATGACTCTAAACCCATATCTTTCTATAATAACACTGAATGTAAATGGATTAAATGCGCCAACCAAAAGACATAGGGTATCAGAATGGATAAAAAAACAAGACCCATCTATTTGCTGTCTACAAGAGACTCATTTTAGACCTGAGGACACCTTTAGATTGAGAGTGAGGGGATGGAGAACTATTTATCATGCTACTGGAAGCCAAAAGAAAGCTGGAGTAGCCATACTTATATCAGACAAACTAGACTTTAAATTAAAGGCTGTAACAAGAGATGAAGAAGGACATTATATAATAGTGACAGGGTCTATCCATCAGGAAGAGCTAACAATTATAAATGTCTATGCGCCGAATACCGGAGCGCCCGAATATATAAAACAATTACTCATAAACACAAGCAACCTTATTGATAAGAATGTGGTAATTGCAGGGGACTTTAACACCCCACTTACAGAAATGGATAGATCATCTAGACACACGGTCAATAAAGAAACAAGGGCCCTGAATGAGACATTGGATCAGATGGACTTGACAGATATATTTAGAACTCTGCATCCCAAAGCAACAGAATATACTTTCTTCTCGAGTGCACATGGAACATTCTCCAAGATAGATCATATACTGGGTCACAAAACAGCCCTTCATAAGTTTACAAGAATTGAAATCATACCATGCATACTTTCAGACCACAATGCTATGAAGCTTGAAATCAACCACAGAAAAAAGTCTGGAAAACCTCCAAAAACATGGAGGTTAAAGAACACCCTACTAACGAATGAGTGGGTCAACCAGGCAATTCGAGAAGAAATTAAAAAATATATGGAAACAAACGAAAATGAAAATACAACAATCCAAACGCTTTGGGACGCAGCGAAGGCAGTCCTGAGAGGAAAATACATTGCAATCCAGGCCTATCTCAAGAAACAAGAAAAATCCCAAATACAAAATCTAACAGCACACCTAAAGGAAGTAGAAGCAGAACAGCAAAGGCAGCCTAAACCCAGCAGAAGAAGAGAAATAATAAAGATCAGAGCAGAAATAAACAATATAGAATCTAAAAAAACTGTAGAGCAGATCAACGAAACCAAGAGTTGGTTTTTTGAAAAAATAAACAAAATTGACAAACCTCTAGCCAGGCTTCTCAAAAAGAAACGGGAGATGACCCAAATAGATAAAATCATGAATGAAAATGGAATTATTACAACCAATCCCTCAGAGATACAAACAATTATCAGGGAATACTATGAAAAATTATATGCCAACAAATTGGACAACCTGGAAGAAATGGACAAATTCCTGAACACCCACACTTTTCCAAAACTCAATCAGGAGGAAATAGAAAGCTTGAACAGACCCATAACCAGCGAAGAAATTGAATCGGTTATCAAAAATCTCCCAACAAATAAGAGTCCAGGACCAGATGGCTTCCCAGGGGAGTTCTACCAGACGTTTAAAGCAGAGATAATGGCACAAAAACAGACACATAGACCAATGGAATAGAATAGAAACCCCAGAACTAGACCCACGAACGTATGGCCAACTCATCTTTGACAAAGCAGGAAAGAACATCCAATGGAAAAAAGACAGTCTCTTTAACAAATGGTGCTGGGAGAACTGGACAGCAACATGCAGAAGGTTGAAACTAGACCACTTTCTCACACCATTCACAAAAATAAACTCAAAATGGATAAAGGACCTGAATGTGAGAAAGGAAACCATCAAAACCCTAGAGGAGAAAGCAGGAAAAGACCTCTCTGACCTCAGCCGTAGCAATCTCTTACTCGACACATCCCCAAAGGCAAGGGAATTAAAAGCAAAAGTGAATTACTGGGACCTTATGAAGATAAAAAGCTTCTGCACAGCAAAGGAAACAACCAACAAAACGAAAAGGCAACCAACGGAATGGGAAAAGATATTTGCAAATGACATATCGGACAAAGGGCTAGTATCCAAAATCTATAAAGAGCTCACCAAACTCCACACCCGAAAAGCAAATAACCCAGTGAAGAAATGGGCAGAAAACATGAATAGACACTTCTCTAAAGAAGACATCCGGATGGCCAACAGGCACATGCAAAGATGTTCAGCGTCGCTCCTTATCAGGGAAATACAAATCAAAACCACACTCGGGTATCACCTCACGCCAGTCAGAGTGGCCAAAATGAACAAATCAGGAGACTATAGATG